AGTTTTATGATACCCAGGAATTCATACATAGATGTCCTCAAGGACACATAGCACAGTGGATAAAGGCGTTAGTTAGATCCAGTGACGGGACCCAAAGAGTGTGAGGTCAACACCTGGTTAAGGCGGTGGAGAACTTGGAGAGGGGAATTAACAGGAGATAACTGATAACTGACATCCATTAGACATGGTACGTGAAACTAGAACAGTCTACCCCAGTGAGCGAAATAAAGGGTTCAGTTTGACATTCCAACCACCTGAAGAAGGCCGAAACTTTGTAATAAATATGGCGACTGAGATGAGGACAACAGTCCGAATAATGTAAATATTGTGCATAATACCTCATCTCAGAAATATAGGCAGAAAACAATTACGATTAAAATAGGTCAACGGTCTCGATCAGATATCCAACCAAATGTTCCTTGTCCACACACTCAACATCCTATCGCTATTTTATCGCGTCTTCGATTGAAAATGTTCTACATTCCCTATTTCCACCAGTTCATGAATTTACAGGTAAGACTAGTCATGCCATACATACACAGATCTTACAATCCTTATTTGCTTCGTCTTCCATTAATTAGAAAGAAGTTTCATTTGGTCATCTGCTTCGCAGGAGCCGCTACATTACGGACATTATTCCAGAGACGATGACGTATAAAGACAATCACAGGCTTATGGTCGTATCACATTGAAACAGCAGTTCTCATAAAACCACAAGGTTAAGTAAAGTCGAGCCTGGTTACTACCTAGATAGGTGACCGATTTCAAAGACAAGGTTTCTATAAGCTTGGATGTTCTGAAGCATAATGGATAACGGCTTGGAATTGGAAATCGGAGAATATATGAATCCGCCTCCTCACCCCTAGCTATGGGTTAATTAGTAAGATTTTATCACTAAACCATTATTATCTCATAAAGAAATCTCTTAATCTAAAAATATTTTCTGGCCTTAAATAAGCTGCAAATGGTTCATAACGTGTTGAATATTAATCAATCAGTCAATCTTGGACTTTTAAAAATTTCTTTTTTTCCTTTTTTCAGTCTAACATTCTGTTCGGGGATTGGCACAATTACTATGCCACCAAATTCAACTTCAATTCACGGGACACCTGTAGATAGCTGCATGTCACTACGGCCAAAAACCTGTGCAAATAACAAAAAAGTACCGTCAATTCGTTAGACATCTATCTGTAAATCATGATTATCTTACGAAAAATCTTATAAACTAAAAATATTTTCCGGTTTTATATAACGTGCAAAAGGTTGATAACCCGTAAAAATATAAAGAATCAAAACAATTACTAACAAAATGTAATTACGATATAACAACAGGGATATATTTCTACCCTAGAACTTGCTGCTTCTTGCTGTACTATCGATTCTTCCATGGAAAATCTTATGACGTGTTACGTTTCGCCGTCCCATTAGTTCAGAATTTTTTTTCAAATAAGATCCTCTATGCTATGTACACAGGGTAGAAGCTTCCTCATTCGTGTCGTATTTCATTGTCAAGAGTCAGGTTCCATTCAAAAATCTTCTCCCCTAGAGCCCGTATTTTATGAAACAGTCTACCAATAGGCGGCTTCCATGACTACTACTATATTGCCTTCTTCAATTTTAAGGTTAAACATTACCTATAATACATTTTCTATATCTACATCTACCTCCAATTTCATTTCATACATCCATACTACATCATTTCATAACACTATGATTTGAGTGGCTCTTAGGCCTTGTTCAGGACGAATTTTCAGAAAAAATGATATTGTAAGTATTATTCAAATATTTGTATGTCCACATCTGGTTCTCTTTTTTTAGGTCAAGTGGCAGAAATTATGATCAAATATAGAGTACCTTACTCAGTAGCACTGCAGATTTTAACATAATGGTTTGTACAAAAATTTTATAAAATAGATGACTTCCTTATGTGGTATGTCAATCCTACAGAAACCTCTCTAGTCATACCTGTTACATGAAATTACACGAATAGCCTGAACACAAATTACAAAACAGGCCTGGATCTCTACAGATGTACTTTACTGTGCTTTCAGTCAGTTTCAAGTCACCGGTTTCAAGTCTTTGTCGTTCTGAAAAGAAGTAAGACCTGAGATCAAAGTTATCAGTCATGGTCTTAATCGTTTAACGATTCGCCATCTATCATTTATGGATTTATAATTGGTTCAGTTACTGGAAACGCATTAAAAGACTGGATTGATTTCAACTATTGTACCTATTGGGTACCTTTGACAAGTGTGCGTAAATGACGCTGATATATCCGAACGCAGTCAGTCTACCAGAATAGAGTCACTGTTAATTCAGCGCTGGTTAAGATGAAATTGGCATGTGTCCGAAATGATGGACGATAAGAGTTTCTAAGTAGTTTCAGTGCACTGAGTTGGGCCTATGAAGAAGCCCAGTTCTCTAACTGAATTTGAGGAATAAATATTACATCAAGGACACACTGCAGAAGGCCAACATTGGGCAAAATAACTGAAACAAACAAGCTTGATATTGATCCTGATGAAGAAAAACAGTGCACAGATTTAATAGAAACGTCTTGAGAATGACAAACCCAAGAGAGTTTTTTTTTTCCTAAGGGCCTTGAGGTTAATTTCAATGTTAGCACAGAATTTGATAGGCGTAATGAAGGTAGTCGCATCTATTTACGTTGAACAGGCCTAAAACCCCAACGACGACATGTCGAAAGAAAATACATTAACTGCAGGGCATGTGGCATTGTTATTTCCACTGAGTGGGTAAAATAATTTGCCTCAGTTTGTTGACTAGAAGGGCATATGAAAATTCACCAAAATATTAATGTAACAGCTATCAAACGTTGTCTCATCTGCAAAATCGAATATAAGTCGATAGCAGGATTAAATTTAATCCATAGCAGGATTAAATTCTTGTTCCGTGTTGTCTATGTTTATGGAAGACTCAAGCGATGGCATTATCCGAAATCGAGTTGTAGACATTATGTACGTGTAGGTATGAATAATATAAAAAGAAAATTGCAAACTTTCATGACGGACTTTTTATTGTTAATATAGTTATTAATTGCTTCAACTAAACCAATTGAAGCAGACGATTTTCTAAGCGTAGCTTAGATATGGCACTACGCCGAATGTATAAGGCATCTAGGGAAGATCGTACACACTACAATTAATTCTGGCGAGATAAGCTTGCTAACCATTACACCACGTAATGTACCTTATTATTGTAAATATAATATGGCGTCAGCTTGCCACTGGCGTTTTTTTTTGTTTGTTTTTTTTTTTTGCTGTCGATTTCTGCTGTGTTCTAGATCGTGACTTTGCATCGTTCACTTGCGAGACAGAATTTGTTGAATCTTGATGTTTTGTCCGCAAGTTAATGCCTTAAAGATGTAAGAAGAAACGTTGCGCTTTTCGTATATTCCAGGCTCTATGAATTTCAGAAAGGAATAAATGTCGGAATCGTAACAAAATAGACATGCAGAATGTTTATTTGGATCATTCAGAGGGTCAATTGGTTTGGTAGATTTCATCAAGGGGATTTTTAACCCAAACGACCAACATCACTCCAGGTGACCTTTCGTCTCCCTGCTTACAATCTTTGAGAATAAACCGAAGATTGCTTACAATCTTTGAGAATAAACCGAAGATTTCGTGGGAGGAGATTGATAAGAATCTGAACATCGATATCACAAACTGCCTTTCGTCATTTGCACATATTTTTGTTCAATAAAAACTGCAGGTTTTTGGCAAATCGTAAAGATATCATTTTCCAGCACGATAACTCAAAACCGCATGTTGCAAAACAGCCCTTGCAGAAGCTGAAATCGTTGAAATGCGAAAACCTTCTGCGTCTACCGTATTCTGCAGATTTTGCTCCTTTGGATTTTCAATTGTTCCAGTCTCTCCAGAACAATGTAAAAGACAAAAGATTGACCCCCCGTACAGTCAGTCGAAAATGAACTCACAACTCTCTTCCAACAAAAATCCAACAAATATCACGAAGTTTTTTTACGAGTATTGCATTAACAAGCTTGTAGAACGTGACACAGTGTAAGTGGCATTGCGGTTTCTAGCCGTGAAGGTTACCTGTTCGAACCAAGAAATGTGATTCGTCCGAGCACTTTCAATGGAACTAGCGATAGCGTAGTGAGAGGGTCGCCGCATCTCACTTGTGAGAGAACGCTTTGAGGATGAAAAATAAGACGACATCCGCTTTTGAACTTTTTCAAGACTGGAAAGTGCGGACTGGGCAGCTTCCACCCAAAAATTACAGGAGTAATTCCTTCTCAGCTTGATCCTGGTCTTGTAAAGGTAAAGGATAGCATGAGGAGTCTGGTACTTTACTGGAACTGTTCGGAGAGCCGAACATTTAACCGACATCTTTATTGATGGCTCATATGCACGCGTTCCACGTAAGGTCAGTCGGGATCCCAGTATTATCTCAAGGTGTGGTGACACCGTTCATCCTGACTAGTGGTAGTTCAGGGTTCGATCGGCGGTAATGGAGTGCCACTAGTTTTTTCTTTCTTCGTTCCATTAAATGTAACCAGCCAATTTTTCCTCACTTTTAATTTAGTGCTAGATAGGAAGAAAGATCAGCTGTCAATCTGATCGTCAATAGCTGAGTCCGTATATTATATCATCACCATAGATATTTACAAATGATCTGTATGTATTCCTGGTCAGATCGTTTGTGTAAATCAGAACGAGGGTTGGTCCGAGAAGCGACCCTTGTGGGACACCTGCGTTTACTGGCAATGCCTCAACGGACTGACCGTTAATAACTCCTTTATGGAATCTACCCGTTAGGAAAGATCTTATAACTGAGAAGTTCTTTCCAGTGATTTTATAGCTGGATATTTTGTTAAAAATAATAGTTAAAATGTAATTGACTAAACCATTTTTCGTGACAATGTAAAATTTTGTTTTTAATTTTCTAATTGGGTACAAACATTTGCTGTGATTTAATAGTGTATATAAGTTTCGGGACCATCAACAAATTCAGACCGGTGAAACATGTCTTGGAACATATTCTTCAACGATATATGCTATCTTCTCTACTCGTTGTTGCGTGATTGTGTTAAATGAACACAAGAATCTTCTAATTGTCATATGTCTGAAAATAGTTTTCGAAAATCCATTTTCTTTAAATTAGTCTCATATTCTCTGTTCATCTGATGCATAAATTCAACATACTTTAATCAAATAAGGGGCGGTCTACTGCATATTTCTCTCCAAACAAAAAGTAAATAAATTATATCCACATAAAATAAAGAATCTCACATTAATTCTCTGCTGACAGTAATATATTGAAAATTCAAACTCTGAAAGTGTCCAACAGGCTCCAGTGAACAGGGTAAATTTTTTGAAAACTAGATTTACATAAAATTATTACAATTGTTTTTCAGTGTATTATAGTTTACTTTCTTTTACCTTTTTTGAATGAATATAATTTATTGGAAAATAAAAAAAAATGGCTAATAGAGAAAAATAAGAAAAAATAAAATCTATATAGGATAATTTGATAATATATTTTGAGACAGATTTGAAGTTGCTAACTTGTTTTCGCTTTCGAAACATAAGTGGGTTTTACATCTGTTTGTATGGATATTTCTATTATATATTTCCAATAAAAGAATCATCATCATTCTCATATTAATCATTCCATTTTTCACTACATCTTCTTCTTCTTCTTCTTCTTCTTCTTCTTCTTCTTCTTCTTCCCTTATAACTCTTTTACTTCACTTTCACTTCGACTTTCCTCCTCCTACCCATATTCCTCTTAGTCCTCCTCCTCCTCCTCCTCCTTCTTCTTCTTCTTCTTCTTCTTCCCTTATAACTCTTTTACTTCACTTTCACTTCGACTTTCCTCCTCCTACCCATATTTCTTCTTAGTCCTCCCCCTCCTCCTCCTTCTTCTTCTTCTTCTTCTTCTTCAAACTCTATTACTTCACTCACTTTGACTTTCAACCCCCTACCCATACTCATCTTATTCCTCCTCCTGCTCCTTCACCCACTCCTCCTCCATTTTAATCTTCTTCTTCTTCTTCTTCTTCTTCTTCTTCTTCTTCTTCATTTACTACTACTAATACTACTACTATTACTACAATTCTTCCTCTTCATCTTCCTCTTCATCTTCTTTTTCTTCTTTTCTTCGCAACATTCTTCTTATGCTCCAACTCTTTTATTTATGTTTCACTTCAACTTTTCTCTTCTCCTACCCCTCCTCCTCCTTTAGTTTAAATGAACTGCTCTTCTATTTCATCTTCTACTTCTTCTTAATCATCATCTTTTCTTCTTCTTCTTCGCAACATTATTCTTATACTCCCATTCCTTTATTTCATTTTCACTCAAACTTTTCTCCCGATACCCCTCCTCCTCCTTCAGTTTAACTGAACTCCTCCCCCTCCTCCTCTTCTTCTTCTTCTTTAAAATCATATTCTTTTTCCTATTCTATTCTTTTTTCTATTTCCTTCTTCCTCTTCTTCCCCTCCTCTTTCTTTTTATTTATTTATTTTTTCTCTTTTTTTTGTATTTGTCTTCTCAAATATTGTTCAGTTTTAATTCTCTTAGGAAAGCCCGAAGAAAAGATGGTGGTTAAAATCAAATTAACGGCCGCATATTTTATTTATAATGCTTTCAATATCTAAACCGCCTGTTAGATGTTTTCATTGCAAATACAGCTTTCGAAAAATACCCATTTCAAAGAAGTGAAAATTTTCACAACTACAATTCCTCTGGCATCAAATTTAACACAAAAACTTTCAAAAGAATTAGAAAGACTTAAAACTTCCTAAACGGAGATGAAGCGTATTATATATTAAAAAGGAGTGAATTGAATTCTCTGCCAAAACCAGTAACGTTTGTGACAAGAATCATTTCTGGCAATTTTGTGATTAATATATAGTCGGACTGGAAGTTAATTAGTGCCAGAAGAAAAGTTAAGAAGATTGTGTTCCACCAATATTCCTTGTGAGGAATATTTGGCGGAATTAACAATCAATAGTTAATTGCTTTTATCTCTACGTAAATACTAACTACAGGTTCTGGTAGAATCAAATATTTGGTCCTCCGAATGAAAATCTAAATAGAGGATTGCTTTTCCAACCTTCATTAAAAACAAAAACTGCATGACTTTCTTTGGATAAAGATAGATATTGTTAGTTTAATGATCGATCATTACGATTAATCCACAACCTTTTTTTTTCTTTATTAATATTCACCCAGTACAAGAGCCACTCAACGTAGAGTGTTACTGTGTGGAATGTTATTAGCTTAAGTAAGGACAAGTGTTAAGAGTGTAGAGTTGAATATAGACTAGAGAAGCAACCGAAAACCCAATCCTAAACAAGAAACAAGGGAGAAACCTCCACTCCTGTTCAATAAAACGAGGAAGTTTTGTGAAACGAGTGATAGAGGAATGTTGTTGTACTCTATCTACATTTCATTATTTTGTGATCTCAACGAAGACTCGTTGCAACTTATTTGATGTCAACGAATACTTTTTGTCACTTTCATAATGTTCTTTGGAGTAGAGACTCTGGAATCGTAGATAACTCCGTTGAATAATACTTGTGTCAGAGGCCTTCGAATAATATTTTCACTAATAGTACTTGCTCGATAATACTCGCTGGAATAGTAATACGTACAATGATCCGAACAGTAAAATAGTCTAGTATAGAATGGTGGTCCGTATAGAATAGAGGATAGAGAAGAAATAGAGATCGGAATAGTATAGAGGAGAGACTAGAATATAGCGACCCGAATTGTATAGGAGAAAGATTTCTTTTATCTATTTCTTTCCTCGCCATTCTCGTTTATGGAACTGGCTTCTGGTTTTCGGCTTGTTGCATCCATGTCAACTATGACCTTCAAGAATTTCAATGCTGTATAAATCACCACCTTCAGGCTTTCTTAAATCCTATTCTCTTACTGTCTTTTCTTCTTATTAATATTCCATGGTTTTCTTTTATTCTCAGTGACCGCTAGTTGAATTAGAACCTTGCTTAGGTTTTTAGAATGATTTTCATCTTATACAAGCCTCAAGAGCCGCTCGATTTAGATGGTTACTGCATAAGAGGCACATTTTATGCGGATATGTGGGGAAGATTACAATTAACCACATCATTCTCACTAACATTTATTGTAATTTACCATACCAAAGGCACGGTGAAGTAATGCATAGCAGCTCGGATTGAGGAACCGGAGAGCCGAGTTCGAATTTCAGTCGAATTACATTCATTTGCGTGCTAATACCCCTAGGAAAGGTATGAACCTTCTTCTCCCCCAGCTATGGGTAAATAGCAGGATAGGCCGGGTTCTATAGCCTTGGATGCCAAGTGGTCTACCGCAGAAAGAAATTTCAACTTACTGCGGGAAAAAAATCTGCCTCGTCAGTCATGTATCCAAAGGTACATGATCACCTAAGCGTGTATCACGCATGGCATATAACTGACTGACTGACCATATTAAAACAGTATTGTCTGAATGTGCAAGATCAGTTTTATACCGCTCATTGTTTTTAACGTAGAATTAAATATTATATGCGTCTTCACACTTTTCGCTTTTATCTTGCCAATGGTAGACGTCAAGCAGAATACTTGTCGAGCCTTCAGTTACAGAAAGAAAAGAAAAACTGAAAAAAAGAGTGAAAGATAGTAATGTCGATTTTATAATATCTTAATGGACCTTCGCCATTTTTTTTTAACGGTGTGGCAAATTACCTGAAGAAAAACATTCCGGAGATCATATTTTACTGGTAAATTTTCTGAATACAAATCTCTTGAAACTTTTCAGGTTCTCGTGATAGAAAATGCCTACAAAAGATATTGTGATTAAATCAGAAATGTCTATAGAGTATAACAGACAAAAAAGAAGCTATATACTGTTTCACAAATGGAGATGCCATAAGACACCATACTAACACCATATGCCAGTATGCCATAATCAGAAAAAACAATCATTAAAAATAAGAAAATATATTGCGTTCCGAAACACTCTAGCAGGCCCGTAAAATTCGTAGTATTTGAGACGACTACATCGGGATGGGGGAACACATTGCTTCCGGTTGACTAACAGTAAGCGAGATTATTGCAATCTTCTCTGAATTTAAAGAGTACAGAGATAATGCTCCTCTATCCTTGCAAAGTAATAACAACAATTTCCTAACAATACAAACTCAGCACACTCATTGTCATTACCTTCCCTAAAATGTCTACTTAATCTACCACCACTTCCGCTACGTCCTTCTCCGATACCTTCACCTGAAACTCTAAAAAGAACAATTCTGTCGGTTAAGAACTAGCAGGAAGAACGTCTGTAACCCAACACCTTTAGAACAAGCATAATGGTTTCGGGCAAAGAAATCTGTCGATTTACCGATACTAGATGCGTAGCACATGCGCGCACACACACACACACACACACACACACACACACACACACACACACACACACACACATTCTCTCTCTCTCTCTCTCTCTCTCGCTGACTCTCTCTGACTTTCTCTCCTCTTTCTGCCTGTCTGTCTGTCTTTCTTTCTCTGAGAAACTCTCCACCATCTTATTACTTATCTGTCAATAAAGATCTTTAAAACTTTAAATGCATCAATCTCTATCTGTGTGTTTCTCCTGATATTTTATTTTTTTCTCGACTCAAAATAATTTTTCTCGTCTTCTTTCAATGGTAGTGAAGCCCAGTCGTCTTAGTGTTTTAGTCACATTGCTTGGGGTGAAATTATTAACAAAAAAAAAAAAAAAACGTTCCATTTTGTTTCTCATGATATTTAAACTTACTTCTACGCTTCAGTAACGATCGATCGCTTTGCATCTTGTCGTCTGTTTTCATTCTGTGTAGACCTCGGAATAATTACGACCGATACACGTGAAGCTGTCGCTTAAGAAGCCTAGACAAAATGCAATGATTGTCGCTTGCATTTATTGTCAGACAGTGTGTTATGTGCCGACGGTCGAGATTTTAAAAGTAATAAGAGAACGTAAACTAGAAGAAATAGAACAATACAAAGTCGAAAAGAATAAAAAGATCAACCAGCTGCCTTGTTACATACAGACTAATTGGGAAAAAAAAGTTTTGCTCATTATTTCGCCGAAAGAAATTTAATATCTTGTGCGCCTCAGAAAAGTAATCCGAAATTGATAAACAAAAAAAAAAAAAAATAAATTCCATGCCGAGAAATGTCGCGAACATATATATGCTCAGAAAGTGTGTCAATAGCCAAGACAATTGGAGCATTGCAATGATAAAAAATGCGGAAGAGACATGGTATAGAAGAATTAATTCTTGCAAAATAATTGGAAATAAACATAGAAAGTGTTTGTTGCTTTAACAAATAATTATAAAGAGATCATTACCAAAGCTAAGAAAGTTAGTCTGGGAGATTTACTGATGTAAAGAGTAAGACTAACACTGAGTTTTTCTCATTATCAAACCAATGCCAAACATAATCAAACTCTGTTAATATTATACATGTTTATTTTTTTCTCCATTTATTCCCCAGGTTTTGATTCATGAAACACTGCTGATTATACTACTACAATGTGGATGCAAAATTATATATACAATAAGCATTATTATTAACATTATCGATCTTATTATTGATATGTTTATGTTTTCTGCGTGGGTGTTTTTGCTGTACGCCGTATATACTCGTGTAATACACGATCTAGCGTATCGTAAGATCCCCAAATTTTTACTGATAAAAAAAATGATTTTATTATATATCTCGCGTATTATGCGAGTTCCTTATCTGAGAAACCAAATTTCAAAAGACTAATCTCTTTTCCTCTATCTCAAGTTACAACGTAAAAGAGTATGACAAAAGTATCGTTAGTAACACTATTATCGTCACGTAAACGTGTACCGTAATAAACGACCGAACGAAAAATAGCTGGCAATCTTATAAACTAAACCAATGAAAAAGCTGCATATTCGCTATGTTTGTATTTTACAATACGACACTAATATGTGAATTTTACATGCATTATTATTGGATACAGGTAAGTAAAATATCAGTCTTATCAAAACTTGTTCCTTTTAAATACAGCTATAATCTTCGACTACAGTACATGGATATATTGTTTGGTTAACGGCTTAGCCAGGGGAAGCAGTACATACGCTAATTTTACGTCACGTGTATGATGCTACCCTCTTAAAATTGCTACAAAATTAGGTTTTCAAAAGTAGCATACGCAAATATATACATTACCTTCTTTTAACGGAAGTTTACGAAGCTTTGAGATCGTGGATTTTTTTTATGAATACATTGCTTTTTTTGTTTTTTGCTCTTTTTTAAAGCATTTCAGCCTAAGCAAGGGCGAGTGCCAATGATACTCAATGGGGTTACAGAGAGTGAAGATAAGAGAAAAGGATGTGTATAGAGGGGATAAAAAGAACGGGGTTCAAGGCATCGAAAGATAACGATAGATGTTATATTTAAATTTTCGAAGATTGCAGTTATCGGGAAAGCAAGTTAGAGGAAGGGAATTTCGACTGTCGAGAAGTGCGAGAGAAGAAATTGTTAGAATAGAAGAGGTGGTTACTTTTACATGTTTGAAAGGAAAAAAGGGTGGCACCTAGTATCA